CAGTGTGTGTGTAAACTGAAGGATATAATCTTGTCCTGGGTCCTCCTTTCTCTCTTTGCTTCCTGGTTGTCTTAAGATGAGCCATTTCCCTCCACCAGGGCGTTCTTCCATGACGTCATCCACCATCAACTGAACCTGCTGAATCTAAGAGTGAAAGTAATCTTTCTTCTATAAATTGTGTGTGTCAGATATTTGGTCCTCACTATGTGAATGTGACTAATACATAAAGTTGGGCAGATAGGAAAGTAGTTGCTGTGACTATACCTAAACACATGGTTCCAAAGCTTTTGGAACTGATTTGTAGTGGGTAGAACTTGAAAACATTTGAGATACTGGCTAGAGAAGCATTCGAATACTGTAAACAGGGGTCTGTGTACACTGTGATAGGTGCTCATAAAATCAGGAGGCTGATAGAAATGCAGACTGTAAAAGCCAGGCTCATGAAGGATTTTAGCTACAAGGATGGAATGGATAGAAACTTTTTCTTTAGAAACAAGTGATTTTCACAATCTCTATTGTAACCATTCAATAGGAAAGAAAAGCTGTAATGAGGAAAACGGAAAAAGATATATTTAGCTATATATGCATGATAGTTTGGATAATGGTACTGTCAATTTCTGCTGGTCTTTTAAAAAAAAAAGCAGTCAATACTGAAATTTTTTTTCTTTTTATTCTTCTTACTGTTTTCTTTGGAATTTCTTAAAAACCTTTTGCTATTGTTTTGCTTTGTTTTTTCATTAAACCAATCTTGCAGATTTACATCCAGTAACCTGCAAAGCTGTTATAGATAATGTTGAAGGTAACACCATGCTATACAGCAATAATTGTTGAATTCCTATTATTTTGTTTAGTGAAATTTTGTAATATTTCTAATGCTGTTTTTTTAAGCACTATTTTGTATTATTTAAAAATTTAAAAATAGGGCCAGGGAGATAGCTCAGAGGTCTAAGCACCTGCCTGGCAAGTGCAAGGACCCAGGTTCAATCCCCAGGACTGCATACATGCTGGCCCAACAACTAGCTGGACACCCTTACTGAGCGTGGTGGTGCAAGCCTGTAATCCCATCACTGGGGAGAAGCTAAGAAAGAAGAATCACTGTGAGTCTGAGCTGTGTAGTGAGACCCCTGTACCAAATACATAAATAAATAATTTTTAAAAATTAAAAGAAAAAGAATAAAAGACAAGTGACTTCTACCTTCCTCATGTGTAGGGCATACACCACCATCCCCTCCTCTCTTCAGCCCAGATGAACATAATATGCAGATACTGCCAGGAAGTTAAGGTCAAATTTGTTTTCAACACGGGAAAGAGAGAGAGAAAAATGACTGAAAAGATGAAGCAAGTCTAGCATTATTTGCTGGCTTACTGTATTCCATTCTCTCTCACTACATAAGGCACCTACACATGTGAAGATGGTGAAATGACAATTTTGAAATGACAGTTTCAACCTGAGGCCTCTACATCTCCCCAGAGGTAGCTCTTTTTTATGCATTTAGTACAGGATCTATAGGATCTCACTACACAGATCACACTCACAGTGATCCTCCTGTTTTCAGCCTCCCAGCTGCTGGGATTACAAGCGCATGCCACTACGCCCAGTTTCAGTCGCTGCCTCAGCACCCCCCGGGGGCAGGGCCAGCACGGCACACTGAGGGTCGAACCCAAGTCCCTGCATCTGCCTAAGTAGGCACCTTCATCTGCTGAGTTATCTGGCTGGCTCTGCAGAGGTAGCTTTAAATAAACCCTTTTCTCTTTCACTAAACATGCCTCCTGTGTGTTGAGAGAATCAGAGAGTGGTGAGCAAATGGAAATATGCATTCTAATGAAAACTGGATGAGAAGCTGTGTGTGTTATATTCTGGCAAAGAACTTCTGTACATTTTGGCCAAGTGTGTCCTAAGACTTTTTGTGAGGTTGAATTTAAAGGGGGTAGACTAATGGGGGAAATCTCAAGGGAGCTCCGTGTTCAAGCTGTTGTATAATTATTGCTGGCTGCTTTCAGTCAGATTTGCAATGAGAACAAAGACCCAAAAGCTGGGCTAAATATTTGGAAAACTTTACAGATTGGCCAGAAAGAAAAAAAATGTGTAAAGATGAAGTCAAATATAGGTGGGTGCCAAAAATATTAATGCAATCCTATTGGAACCATAAGAAAGATAACTAGAGGACATCTCAGGATTTAGCAGACATTAGTTACTCTAAGCTAAATGGTGGAAAGAGTCAATTCATTTGAAAAAAAAAACTCATTTTGAGAACCTTGATCACTCTGTGCTGCCTAGAAATGTGTTTCCCCAAGTTGAATCACGGAGGCACTCAAAACTCACTGTAGCTATGGTCTAAGAAGGCCAGACTACTGCTGGAGCTTGGGACAGACCTTGGCATGCTCTATGTGGTGTATGTTTTACAAGCATGCAGAGTACAAAAGTTGTGGGGTCATGGGGGCTTCCCAAGAGATTTTAATGGAAGGCCCGGGATGTCAAGTACTGTGTCACTAACAGGGATGTACACAAAGTATAAGAATGAATCCAAAGGTGCAGCTGAGACACCAGGAAGGTGCCAGAAAAGCAGAACATCTGCTGACAAAAGCCACAGGCAGTGAGCACAACCAGTCCAGAACAGATGTCACATGGACTGCAACTGGCCATAGGTAGGGCTTTCCAAACCCTTTGGAGCTCACCTCTTGCCACCAAGTGTCATGGCAGCTGGACATACACCTATAAGACGTGTGCCCTGGTGAATTTTGGTCTTGATTCCTTTCTATGTCCCCATTGCTCCCTTTTGGAATAGGAATGCTCCCACTGTGCCACTGTGTATTAGATGCATTTAAACTTTTTTTTTTTTTGGTGGAACCAGGGATTTGAACTCAGGTCCTTGCACTTGCCAGGGAAGTACTTATTCTACTGAGTCATCTCCCCAACCCCTAAACTTGTTTTTAATTTTTCAAATTTTTTTAGTGTATGACTGTGATACATAACAGTTATATTCATTTATGGAAGTTAGTATGTAGAATATATAACTTCTTGATTAGTTTCAGGCATTTTACTCCTTCCGTCATCCTGATTCCCTTCCCCTTCTCCATAAAAGGGGGGCCTACAGCTAAGAGATGAACTTGAGTCTAGAAGAAGACTTGTACTTGGGTTTTTGAGCAATGCTGAAAATGGTTAGATTTTGGTGACTCATAAAGATGGACTAAATGCATTTCACATCATGATATGGACTCATACGAGCCTTTTGGAACAAGACAGAATGTTATGGTTTCAATTGAAAGACGTCCCCCCAAAGTCTCATGTATGTAGTGATGGGGCTTGAAGCTGGCTAGTGTGTCATGGGGGTTCCTGTACTTACCAGGGGGTGAATCCACTGATGATTTTGCAGATCAGTATGCACTCAGGAGCAGTGGTCACTGCAGGTGTGACTGCAAAGGTCTTGTTCTTGTCCTCAGACTGTCCCTCCTATCACTACTTCCTGGCTGAGGTTAAGCAGTTTTTCTTAAGGTCTATCAGGTCTCACTGCTCAGATCAGAATTGTAGTGATCCTCCTGTTTTCAGCCTCCCAACCACTGGGATTACAGGCACACTCTATAATGCCCAGTCTCTATCACCATTGCAGCCCACCCCAGAGGCGGGGCCAGCATAGCACGCAGGGACTCAAACCCCAATCCCTGCGTCTACCTAAGCAGACACTTTAATCCACTGAGCTATCTGGCATGCCCATAGGCAGCTTTTCTTGGCCAAGCTTTTCCACTAGGATGTCTCTGCTTTGGACAAAGCCAGTTGTGGACTGAGCCCTCTAAAACTGTGAGACAAATGGACCTCTCTTCCTTTAAATAGTATGTCAGATTTTAGGTTCCAGGGTTCAGAAGGAGACTAATGCACATTATGCTCACAGCTTTGCTAATGGCATATTTTTGATTCTCCTTGTTGTATGTTCTCGCTAGCTTTATTTTGCTATTTTATTGAAATCTAACCAAAGTTAGCAGATTGCTATAAAAATTCTGCAAAGTCTGGAAATGTAAATAAACATGGTTATGTAAATGCATATATGCATATACATGTACAGTAACACAATGTTCTCAAACCTAAAGGTATTGTACAAGTCAGTTGAAGATCTGGTTTTAAAAAGGGATTCTTATACGATAGGTCCAGAGTGGCCGAGAAATTTGCATTCTCAACAGCTTCTGAATGATGCCGAGGCTATGGGTACGCAGTTCATATTTCAAAGCAGCGCAATACTACCTAATTTAGACTCTTCAAAAGAAAAATATTTATCCGCTTTTCTAGAACAGAACACGTATAAAAATTGAACCTAATCAACAAAGCAATTAAGATGTTTATAGCACAGAAAATACTGCAAAATTATGAAAGATAACTTTCCTAGAAAAAGAAATTCCCCTTTTCACAAATCAACTCTCTTATTTTTGCAGCTCATTTGACAGCTATCTCAATTTAGTATCATGAGCTTTTCTTTCATTTCAAATGGCCCCTCTACCCTCTCCCTCCCTCTCTGTCCCACCCACACACACTCATACACACACTCATGCACCCTTACTTGGCCTCTCCCTTTTAAGTGTATCTACAAATATTGGACACTTATTTTGTTTGTAACTCTTCTCCCAGACAAAAGTTCTTGACCTATTCCACCTTGGTATCATTTACATTTGCCACATAGCTCAAATATATTAAAAACAAGGCTGGCCAAATAGCTCAGCAGATTAAAGCTCCTACAAGCAGGCACAGGGGCTGGGGGTTTGATCCCC